CATCCAAATTTATCCATTCGAAAAGCTCAGGGAATGTCAACGGCTCGAGCTCAAGGTATGAACAAAGAAGAATGCGATCATTACTTTGACCTGCTCGGGAACCTTTTAACAGAAAATAACCTAATATCCGCTCCCAGAAAATTTTTCAATGTAGATGAAACTGGGGTTCAGCTAAATAACAACCCAGGAAAGGTAATTGCTACCAGAGGTTCCAAAATGGTAAATTGTGTAACAAGTGCAGAGAAAGGTGAGACTGTGGCAGTTATAGCCTGCGTGAATGCAGAAGGTCATTTCCTTCCACCCTACTGCATTATGAAGGGAAAAAACAAGAAAAAAGAATTTGAAGACGGATTGCCACCAGGTGGTACAGTTGTAATGAGTGAAAAATCGGCGTATGTAACTACGGATATTTTCAAAGCATGGCTTCTTCATCACTTTATTCCACGTAAAGAACAAGGCAAAGTACTCCTCGTCCTTGACGGTCATTCCTCTCATTGCTCTGATGTGGAAATACTAGACCTGGCAACAGCCAATGACATAATTCTGTTGTGCCTACCTAGCCACACTACTCATTGGCTGCAGCCATTAGATAGATCATTCTTCAAGCCTCTTAAGGTTTATTGGAATGAAGCATGTAAGAAATGGGTACAAAACAATCCCGGTCGCAAACTCTCCAGATTGCAGTTTCCGTCACTCCTCAATACTGCATGGTGTAAAGCTGCCTCAGTTCAAAATGCAGTATCAGGATTTAGGACATGTGGTATTTTTCCTTTTGATAAATCCAAAATCCCAGAATATGCTTTTATCTGCAAAAATACTGCAAATGCTGCTCTTAGAAATGAGAATTCACCGGATGAAAATATTGGGGAAGCCACTGCTCATGTCATTATTGATGCCAACAACCAAAACAACGGGCGTTCTCCAAAGACAGCTGATCCAGATCAAAATCCATTTGAAGCTATTTCAGCGGTTCCGTGCATACCAGGAACGAGTGGGTGCCAGAAGCGAAAACAGCATGCAGAGGTACTAACATCACCAGAGGTAGTAGCAGCAAAACGAGAGAAAAAAGAGGCCAAAGAAAAAAAAGATCTGCGAAACTGATGAAATCCCAGCAACGGATGAAAAAAACGGATGAGAAACACAGTAGCAATACTAAGGAAAAGGCAGGAAGTAACAAAAAGCTTGCCAAAGAAAAAAGTCGTAGAAGAGCCCGATTTGATTCTAGTTCGTCCGAAAGCGAAACGGAAGTAGTTACACAGGAAAGTGGTGAATCAGAAATAGAAGTAGACCGTTCTGAAATTTGTGCAGAATGCGGTGGATATTATTTCGACAAAAAGGGTCCCAAATGCGATTGGATACAATGCACGAGGTGTTCGGACTGGATCCATGAGATCTGCACAAGATCTGACTTATACTGCAAGGATTGTATCCCACTTCAACAGCTGGCAAACGATATGAAATGGAAAAATTGAATGTTTGTTTTTCATTCTAGTTCAAGTTTCTTTTTATTTCTTATTTGACATATTTGAACTTATTTTAGATTAACTTTGGATTCTGATTAGGTTTACTTATATTTTGATATGTTAAACAACATTTCTTTTTTTTTTTTTTTTTTTTTTTTTTTTTTTTTTTTTTTTTATATATCGAAACAGCCGCGCAGGCAGAAGCCTAAATGCCGGAACACCGCGGCTGCTATGATGATCCCAAAGAAATTTTGTTAATACGATTTTTGAACTGCCTAAGGTTAGTAGAACTGGGAAAAGCTTCCTCCCGTAGTTTGTTCCACAATCTAGACACCCTCGGGACAAAGGAGCGGTCGTATCGGCCAGTTCTGGATGTACGAAGTTTGACACGGTTAGGATGGGACGCCGAAATCAGGCGGGTCTGTCTGGCAGGCACATCGCGCGGCGGCATCATGGAAGAGAGCTCTGAGGAGCAAATCCCGTTGGTGTAGCGATAGAAAAGAGCTAGATCGCCGACGGCCCGCCGGTGCGAAAGAGTCCCGAGACTGTCTGTTAGAGAAGAGTCATCGATCAGTCGGACCGCCCTCCTCTGGACAGCATCGAGCATGGACAATGTAGTCGGGGCGGCAGCACCCCAAATGTGTGAGCAATACTCGAGGCTAGGCCTTATCTGGGCCTTGTATAGAGTGAGAAGGTCATGCGGAGAAAAGTACTTCTTAGCCCTAAACAAATAGCCTAGCTTTTTCCCAGCAGCTGCAGCTATTGAAGAGATGTGTTCGTGCCAGATCAGGTCCTCGGTGATCTGGACTCCGACCAGCCGAAATGAATGGCTCTTTGGTAGAACTCGACCATCCATCGAAACTGTATGAGCGCTAGGACGCTTTTTGTTCGTCAAAGTACAGTACTGTGTTTTGGAAGCATTGAACTGTACAAGATTGTTGCGTCCCCAAGCAGTGATAGCCTCCAGGTCTCTTGTCAGAGAAGAAGTCGTCGCTAGTCTTCTTTTTTCCAGCTCAGCGGCAGAGATCGGCTTGTCACTCTGAATTCCTGCATGTAGAGTGCTGTCATCAGCGAAGCTGTGGATTGGGTTGATCGTGCAGGAAAGGAGGTCGTTGATATGTAAGAGAAACAGTGTTGGAGCCAAGACCGATCCCTGGGGAACACCCGCGTTGACGCCGCGGGATGAAGAGGAGAATCCGTCAATTACGACGGATATCTTGCGGCCAGAGATAAAGTCAGCCACCCATCTGCAAAGCTTTTCTGGGAGGCCGTAGGATGGAAGTTTACTCAAGAGGGCAGCGTGCCACAGCTGATCGAACGCTTTCGTGATGTCAAGAGCAACGACATGAGCCTCACCATGAGACTGGATGAGTTTACTCCACAGTTGCGTGACGTAAGCTAGGAGGTCCCCTGTGGATCGTTGGTGCCGGAAACCGTACTGCCTGTCGCTAATCAAGCTGTGACGTTCGAGGTAGTCCAGAAGCTCGCGATTTATGCACCTCTCCATCACTTTACTGATAACAGAAAGCAGAGCTATAGGCCTGTAGTTGTAAGGGTCGGTTTTAGATCCTTTTTTTGGGATGGGCTGTACATGAGCAAATTTCCAGTTTTCTGGGAAGGTGCCGGATTCATAAGATATCTGGAAGAGACGCGAAAGAACTGGAGCAAGCTCAGCTGCACATCTCTTCAGTACAATGGCAGGAATCAAGTCCGGACCAGAAGCTTTGTTGATGTCGAGCGACAAGAGCACTCGTCTTACGGTCTTATGCCTGAATGTTACCTCCCGCATAGTGTGGGGAACCCTTTGAATTGACGGCACTTGGGCGTTGGTGGGGACGTCCATGGTGGAGTTGGCAGCAAAGATCTTGGCTAGCACTTCCGCCTTGGCCTTTGAGTCGAATACAATAGTTCCATCCTGACACGTAAGTGGTGGAAGGCTACTGTGTGAGAAGTTCTTTTCAATCTGCTTGGCCAGCGTCCAGAAAGACCGACTGCCATTGCGCTGCGACATTACCCTGTGCCTAACTTTTATATCATGCTGGGTTTTGGCATTGCGAACCGCTTCGTTATATTTGTTTCTGGACTCGACGTCGGCTTGTCTGTTCTCTACAGTGGGGTTTTGTAAGTAGGTTCTGTGGGCCTTGATCTTCTGCTGGCGAGCAGTGTCACACGATTTGTTGAACCAGCCGTTGGACCCTGGTTTAGGAACTTTCACTGTGTGAGGGATGTATTCCTCCATTCCGACGTGGATAATTTCGGTTATTGAAGAACAGACAGTCGACGCATCCGCGTCAGTGAAACAGACATCTCTCCAAGGAAAGCTAGAGAAGAAGTCTCTGAGCCCCTCCCAGTCGGCATGTCCGTAATGCCAAGTTTTGCGGCCTGTGCGAGTTTCTGCGGCCACAGCGGCTTCTGACCGAAACCTAACCTCCACAACACCGTGATCTGAGTTACCCAGGGGGGACAGGACGGCAGTGCTGTAAGGGGCAGGATGCGTGGTCAGAAAGAGATCCAGCAGGCTACTGGCGTGTGACGAGATGCGGGGGAAAAAAGTAGGGCTCGTCACCAGCTGGGTCAGCCCTTGAGTAAGAGCGAACGCTTCGACTGCACGACCTGCTGCATCGGTCTTATTTGAGCCCATCCAAAGCTCATTATGGGCATTGAAATCACCGAGAAGAACTACCTCTGAAGCGGGGTGATTGATGTTCAGGAAGTCGATCTGGACGGCGAGGTATTCGAGTAGGTCATCCCAGTTATGGTTCGAAGGAGAGCGATAAAGGCAGCAAATAAATTTGGGTGATGTTTTGGAGTTGAGGCGAAGCCACAGAATGTCCTTCCGGTCTGATTCCAAAGAAAGATCCCTGGAGCAGGAAAGACTGCTGCGGACAAAAGCCACAACTCCCCCGTTCTTTCTCAGATTGGAGTGCACCTCGTAGTTTAGGAAGTTGAGATGGTTAATCGGTGCAGCCTCTGAGATTTTTGTCTCCGCCAAGAAAAGCACGGCGGGACGATTGGATTGCAGGTAGTGATGAACAGCATCAATGTTGCTGTTGATCCCGCAGATGTTCGAAAAACAAATTTTATCTTCGATGTTGTTCCCTCGAGCCCACCCTCCACCCGGACATTCCGAGAGTGGAGTGAGTTTACGTCCGGAGTTTTTAGTGCTCGAGGGATCCATCATCATTAATTTCTTTGTTTTGGTAGATAACCGACTGCATAGCTTAGGTGTGGAAACATGCGGACATTTATAAGACACCCTGGGAAAAGCTAGCGGGTGGTACTGCCTCGGTCGACTGGTCCTTGTCTACCACCTTCTTTTTACATATTAGTGATGTTAAATAGACCTAAAGTGGCCCGTTGGCGGACTTGTACCGCCACCCGGCAATCGGTACTGAGGTATTCCTTAACGCGTGCGCAATCACTTGGACGGGAAGAAGTTGTATACTGGATACAACGACTTCCGGAACAAGCATTTGCCACGGCCCTCGCTCAGTAGGGGGGTTCTTAAAAAATATGTTTGTTTATGTTTTTTGTCATAAATTAAATGAATCCTTATGCAAATCGCATGTTGCCATATTTCCCAATGTCCTATTCCATATTACCCTGATGCTGGGGGAATATGGCAATTTGTCATTATTCGAGAATTTTGTTTCCTATTGGAACTACGGTCGAACCAGCACAAAAACTGACTTAGTTAACCATACCTCATACTTTAAGGACCGTCTAGCCAGTTCGATTGCAAGGCTGAATGGAGACATTACAGATTTATGGTCCAATAAAAAACAAGTTGCCATAATACCCCATTCTACTCTACACACATATACAGGGTGTTAATAAAGTATGTAGACAAACTTTAACCATCGAATCCTTGGTCAATTTGAAGACGAAATTTCCATATGAACATGGACCAGCAACGACTTTGATTTCAAGCTAGAGCATATTAGCACTAAAAGAAACGATGGCATTGTTCTAAAAAATTACACGAGAAAAGAACGTATTTTATTTTAATTAAGTATACCCTGTGGTGAATATCACATGGTTTACAGTTATTTTCAGACCCTCCATGTACGGTAGATACCTACACATATTAGATATTCCTCTTAGAGAACGACGTCGCATGTAGTACATAGATGATGGTGCTCTGCCACACTTCAATGTCGTTGCGCGAGAATACCTAGATAATAATTATCCAAATCGATCTATTGGAAGAGGCGGACCACAGCCATGGCCGCCTAGATCGCCTGACATGAATCCTATCGATTTCTTTTAATGGGGACATTTGAAATCATTAGTATACAAGACTCCTTTTCAAAGCGTGAAGGCTTTAAGAGTCAGAATTGTCGACTCATATCTGAATTTACAAAGTACTCCGGGTATTTTCAGGAGAGTTCGTCAATCAATGTGTAACAGACTAGATGCCTGTATTGAAGTCGAAGGTGGCCACTATGAACATTTATTGTAAAAAAACTATTCGATATTTTCTATTGTTGTCGTTCTATTCGAATGCTACTGTTCAAAACTATTGACCTTCTAAATATTTTTTTTCCAAAAATACGTTCATATTGAGCCTCAGCATGCAAAATTTATCATAGGTTATAACAATTGTCGAATAAATACGTTTTATTATTCATAGAAACT